CGCAGAACCCCAAGTAGCACCCCCCCCCCCCCCCCCCAAAAAAAAAAAAAAAAGTAAAACTCTCAAAGCAAAAAGCAGAACCAACAAATCCCAACAAAAAGTCTCAAAACGAAAGCACAGAAAAAAGCCGAACCAAAAAACATATGACACCAAGAAACACCCCGAAGCCCTGACAGCCAAGCGGATCAGGAGTTCTTGGTGGGCTTCGAGTGGCTCAATGAGCCCATCTCGGGCAAGTGGGGGACCCTGGCCTTTGAGGGCTTTTGGGGATTTGGGAGTTTGTGGTTTAGGGTGTTTAGGGTGTTTAGGGTGTTTAGGGTGTTTAGGGTGTTTAGGGTTTTTAGGGTTTTTAGGGTTTAAAGAGTTTAGAAAGTTTAGAGAGTTTAGAGGGTCTAGGGGCTGAGGGCTTGAGAGGGTTTCAGGGCTTTTTGGGGTTTGGGTTTGAGGGCTCCAGATGGGGGCCGCCGAGACTTTTTCAGAGGCCCAGGCACCTCTAGGGTTTGGGGCTTTAGGGGCTTTAGGGGCTTTAGGGGGTTTAGGGTTTAGGGTTTAGGGTTTAGGGTTTTAAGTTTAGGGTTTTTGGAAGGCCCCCCCCCCCGAAAAGAAGCCCTGCCTTTGGCGCCGGAGGTCTCTTCTGAAGCTGGGCCACGAGATCAGGACTTGCTCAGGTTTCCCTTGTGCATTTTATAGTTTTTTTTTGTGTGTGGGGGGGGAGGGGGGTAAGGCTCAGTTTAGGGTTTACCGAGCTAAAAAAAGGTATGCGTTTTTGGCACTGGGTTTCGGGGGGGGGGGGGGGGGGAGGGACGCCTCTTCTTCGTGCTTCTTTGCTCGGCGGTGCTTTACTGTAACTCTAGATCCTTAGCCTTTTTGGGGTTTCTTGGGTTTCTTGCTGAGGCAGCTAAGATTTTCATCTTTAGCTACCCTCCTAAGTGCAGCCAAGTTTGCTGGGAGGTTGCAGCGAGCTTTGAGATCGCAGGATTTCCTGCCAAGCCGTCGAGAAGCTGCTGACCAGCCTGGGCGGCTGGGAAGCTGTTGGTGTACTCTTTAAGAACACCCCCCCCTAAATGCAGAAGCATTCTTCTTTATAAGGTTTGTTTATATAGTGTATATATATATATATGAGGGTTATCCAATATTTTTATTTATTTTATTTTTTTTTGGGGGGGGTGCTCTTAAGCAAATAGTCGATTAGCAGTTTCCAAATGTCCGCATATGAAGCAGGTGTTTGGTTTTGATAAACAAGCAAAGGGAATTGTTGTTTATGGTTCAAAGGCAGTATAGTTTTCTGCTCCTCAAGCCCCCCGCCCTCAGCCACTATCACTCCTCCAAACCTCCACCCACCCCCCCCCCCCCCCCCCCCCACGAATCTCGCAATAGGGAATAGTTGCGGGTGCCCCCCTGGTGTGCCCGCTTTGGCGGGAGCCGCTGCATTTCTCGCACATGTCAGCTTCAATATATGGCACAGGGCCTAAGCAAGTTCCAACACTATCCCCTTCATCCCTTCATAGCTGTGCTACAAACTACCCCCCCCCCCCCCCCCCAAATTCCCATTCCAATTCAATGGGCGGCTTTGTGGGGGGGGGGGGGGGGTAAACCCTAGACCCTAAACCCTAAACCCTAAACCCCTGGGCCGGAGGCCCTTTTCACTGTATTCCTTTCCAAGTTGCATGGCGAATGACCTGCAACTGTTGCTAAGCACACCCTTGCAGCGACCTGAAGATGGGTTTGGGGTTTAGGGTTTAGGGTGTAGGGTGTAGGGTTTAGGGCTAGGGTTTAGGGTTAGGGTTTAGGGTTTAGGGTTTAGGGTTTAGGGTTTAGGGTTTAGGGTTTAGGGTTTAGGGTTTAGGGTTTAGGGTTTAGGGTTTAGGGGTTCTTAAAACTAGGGTCCTTTTTCGGGTACCCTAAATATCTGGGGCCTATTTTTCTTGTGACCCCAAAAGGGACCATAGTTCAGAGAAGTGACCATATGACGCCTCACGACAGGGACCCAAAGCCTCAAGCCTCATGAATATCCTCTGGAAACCTCAAAGTTATAGAGCCTTCAAGCCCTACGCCCCTCAACCCCTTAAGCCCCTCGAACCGGTAACGCCCCTCTAGACCCCTTAAACCCCTCAAAACCCCGACAAACCCCTTCAAGCCCTTAAAGACGAGCTTGAAAATATCGCAAACACCCAGGGGAGGAGCTCAATCGCCTCTGTTCTCGGCAGTTGGCTCGGGCCCCGAACGTCCCGGAGTTTGGATGATGGAGGGCTTCGGCGTTTAGGGGCTCAGGGTTTAGGGTTTCAGTAGGAGGGTGACATTGAGGGTTTGGGGTTTAGGGCTTGAGGAGGGTGACATTTCGGGTTTAGGGTTTCCCCTCAAACCCCTAATTCAACTCCTATACAACTAAAGCCCTCAATCCCTAAACCCCGAATTCCTGTTGTTTTTTCTAGGTTAAGTACCCCGCAAACCCTAAACCCCAAACCCCAAACCCCAAACCCTAAACCCTAAACCCTAAACCCTAAACCCTAAACCCTAAGCCCCTGGACCTAATGTGTAGTCCTGGTCCCCAGGACCAGCAGAGACGGCTGGAAGACCGCTTCAGAGAGGCCATGGCCTGAAGGTCTGTAGGGTTTAGGGTTTAGGGTTTAGGGTTTAGGGTATAGGGTATAGGGTTTAGGGTTTAGGGTTGTATGGCGCAGAAGCTAGGAAGCTTGGGATGCAGACTAGCTTCGAAAGCCTCGTAACATGCGAAAGGCAGCTTTGGCCTCATTGTGGAGGGCCAAAAAACACTTTTATCCCACCCCACGCCGTCTCAAACAAAACCCTAATTACCCTATTCCTATTTCGGGTTTAGGCCACCCTAAACCCTAAACCCTAAACCCTAAACCCTTAAACCAACTGCCTGCTTCCAAAATACTTCCTCCGTGCAGGCGCTGGGGGGGCTTCCTTCACCAAGCCCTGATTTTGAGTCTGTGTGGTGTACAAAAGGATTCGGAAAGAAGTGACCCGATTCCAGTAATAATAATTGTCGCAGGTTTTGATGGCAGAAATGACCCCATGATTTTACATGTTTTGAGGCTCCAGGGCCTTCGGAATTCTTGGGGGAGCTCCCTTGGCTTGCAGAAGGGCTGCCAGACGTGAAAAGGTGGCTTCGGGTATCCTCCCCCCTCCCCCCACCCGTGCCGTGCGTCTCCCCCCCCCCGCCCCCCCCCCCCCTCCCGCCCCCCTCCCCCTGCCCCCCCCTCCCCCTGCCACCCCCTCCGCCCCTGGCCCCCCTCCCCCCCCCCAACAAAAAGAGAAAAGGCCAGCCTTGAGTTTAGGGTTGAGGGAAGGGCTCATGGTGTCACAGGGTTCAGAGAGTTCACAGGGTTCAGAGAGTTCATAGAGTTCATAGTTGGAGGGTTTAGGGTTCAAGGCTACAAGGGGTCGAGGCTCTTTGTTTGGGGGATTGTCTGAAGGTGTCGTTGTGAGGCCTACTAGGTTTGAGGGGCCAAACAAACCCTCCAGTTACAACACTCTAAAGCCAAAAGCCTTTGTCCATTGTAGGTCATATACGGAGGCCCAATACCAAGATCCCAAAGCCGCCGAAAGAGTCGAACTCCAAATCCTCCACGGTGAGGTGGTCGAAGCCCGGCGGAAGCTGAAAGAGGAGTCGGGTGCCTTCAGTTTACTTTTGAGTTTAGCATTTAGGGGAACCCCTAACCTTCCTTGGGAGGCTAGGACCTGCTAGGATCATGAAGGTCCTCAGGCATCGCGACTTCTCCAGGGCTGTAGACCTTCTTGTAATTGAGTTCCTTGGCAATCTCTTGGCCCTAAACCCTAAACCCTAAACCCTAAACCCTAAACCCTAAGCCCCTATAGACGACCAAGCTAGCCTCGCCACGCGCGGGAGAGGAGTGTGACAAGACCCTGATGGCCCAAGCGAAGGCACGAACTCCAACGTGACTGCGCCTTCCTGTGTTAGCCTGAAGGGTTTAGGGTTTAGGGTTTAGGGTTTAAGGTTTAGGGTTTAGGGTGACGAAGGGGTTTAGCAACAAACCCCCTTCGCACACAGGCCTACGAGTCGCGCGCGGAGCTGTCGAGCCTCATGGAGCAGTACAAGGCCTGTCAAGGGCTTGTGGGTTTAAGGTTGGGACCCTAAACCCTAAACCCTAAACCCTAAACACAAGGGTTCAAGGCCTTGTTTTTCAGGGTTTAGGGTTTCGAGGAACTCAAGCTTGGAACCCCTAAGGATGCGTCCCCTAAGAGGCATACTCCGAATCTTCCCTTACAGGATCTCTAACTGGGTCTTGGAGTACTGATTAGACTTTAGTACTTTTGTTGGTTCTGGGTTCCTACTATAGCTACTCATGCCGCAGAAAGGTAGATATTTTTTCCAGGGTCTACTCCAAAAATAGGGTTTGAAAAGGGTCCCCCCCAACCTAAGGGTACAACCTTAGGGGTCCAAGGTAGAATCCCAGGAGGGTTGAGGGTTGAGGGTTTAGGGGGTTCAAGGCCTACCAGGATGTTCATGTTGAACCTACACCCATGAATCTCGGGGTCTTCTTTCGATGGGCTGCGCGCGAACATTGCCTGCTTCAGGTCAGGTTTTGGTGGTTACCCGTTTGGGAGGTCTGAGGGACCCCAGCTATCATGCCCACAACCCTCAACCGCAAGCCATCCGTGCAGGCTTTCTTGCGTTTCTTGAGTGAATTCCTCCTTTCATGGGGGTCACGTTCCGTGGCTTCAGGAACTGTTATCTGGCGAGGATGGGCTTAGGGGTTTGGAATCCTAAGCCCCAACACCGCCCACTTTAGCCCACCACCCTAGCCACCGCCGCTGGGCTGATCTAATGATCTAGTGACTATAGTGCTAGCTTCTATTTAGGTTTTGCGCCGCCCTCATACGCAGTGGTAGGCTTGGTCCGCGCCGCCCTCAGCAGCAGGGTTGGAGTACCTTTCCCGGGTTTTTAACTGGGGTGCCATGAGGGGAGCCATCAGCGGCACGCAGGCCCCGGTGGCATCGAATGAGTCTGAGGTATGGCCAGCGTCTCTGCTGCTCGTTTCAATGTCCTAGAAGAGCTGCTGGGCCTTGAGGCGACAAACTTCGCCACCACAGAGGTAGAACTACCGCTGGAACGCCTCAAGTACCTTGCCTCGCTTCTTGAGTTGAGGCTGACGGTCCAGCCAAAGCGACCCAACAAAAAAGGCACGGAGGACCGCCGCAAGAGCTTGCGAGGAGGGGCATCGTCGGGCTATCAGCTGCTCAAATGGAGAAGTTGCCAACCCCTAAAACCCCTGAAGCCCCCAAAACCCCGAAACCCCCCAAAGGCCCTAAAACCCCTGAAACCCCTAAACCCTTAAACCCCTAAACCCCAAAACCCTGAACCCTAATCCCAACGTTCCCCAGCGCCACCAGGTCATCAGCATGTCAGAGGCAGATGAGGACGAGCTCCCAGAGGCCGCGCGTAAGACAGTTTCGGGTTTAAGGCTGGGATGTTACCCCTAGGGATTCTATAACCCCCAATTATAATTCCTATTAAGGACTGTTAGTATAAGGGGCAAAAAATCCCAAGTTAAAGGGTTTGGGGTTTGAGGTTTCGGGTGTAGGCTTCGACTCTTGCTTCTCTGCGTTCTGGGAATTTGCAGTACCAGAAGGGGTGGGGGCGGGGGGGGCTGGGGTTGAGGGAGGTTTTGGCGAGTTTCAGACGTTCAGATTCTCTGTGTGTTGCGGAGTTATGAGCGGTTCAAGGCTTCTGGGAGTTTAGGATTTTTGTTGTTCTTGGGTGTTCGTTAACCGGGGGAGGGGTACTATTGTATAAGCACTCTTCGGTATCCTAAATGTGCAAACGGAACAGATTATGACAGGCGCAAGAACGGGCCATAAATGCCACTCACGTGAGACCCAGGCTGCCTTGGCCTCATCTCACACGAACCGAAAGACACGCAGGCCCAATATTGCCAACTGCTAGACTTGGCATCAGGGCCCGCAACCTAAACCCTAAACCCGAAACCCTAAACCCTAAACCCTAAACCCTAAACCCTAACCCCTAACCCCTAAACTCTAACTCTAAACCCTGAATCAGGAGGAGTTCGACGCCGACGTGGTCATCCAGACGCCCACGAACAAGAATGATGCCCCGAGCTCAGCGAAGGCTTTAGCGAGACATGTCGCTTGCTTCGCACCTCGTTTACCCCGCCCTACAACCCCAAACCCCAAAGCTCCCAAAACTCTGAACCCGAAAAAGCATCCTCAAAAGAACACAAAGTCCAAAGCCACAAAGCCCCAAAGCCAAAAACCCCAAAACGACCAAGCTTTCAACTGTGGAATTCACTGGCCCCAAACCCAAACCAAGCTTTCAACTGTGGAATTCACTTGCCCCAAACCCAAACCAAGCTTTCAACTGTGGAATTCACTGGCCCCAAACCCAAACCAAGCTTTCAATTGTGGAATTCACTGGCCCAAAATCAAAACCAAAGCCCCCAAAGCACCAAGACCCCAAACCCAAACCTCAAAACACCCGCCCGCCCGCCCCGTCCACCTCCCCACCAGATCCCCCGCTCCCTCCGCTACCTCCAGTCATCCCACACACTGGGCTGAGCCCTAACCCGAACCCTAAAGCCTCAATCTTATAAACCTTCTAAATCTTAAACCCTGAACCCTAAAGCCTAAACCCTAAACCCAGTCTGAGTGTCTGAAGGGCACTGTCATCTCGACAAGCGTCCTGAAGACGGAGAGCCTGGAGGCTGGGTTTAGGGTTTAGGGTTTAGGGTTTAGGGTTGAGGGTTGAGGGTTGAGGGTTGAGGGTTTAGGGTTTAGGGTTTAGGTTCAAGGCTGATCCGTCTGAGTACGGCTTTTCGGGGGTTAAGGGCCACTTTCTTTGGGGTCTTTGGTGGAGGGTTCCTCTATAGTAGCCTCTTTGGGTATCATTTTTGGATTGTGCAACCCATGCAAAACCCAAAGACTATCCAAGGACTTACTTATGTTTCGCTGGGACAAGCAAAGCATCTTCGGCTTACAGGGTTAGTGCAGATGCCCGCGTGAAGTTTTTTTTATCACGAATCCTGGTAGAACAGGTGTTGTCGCCATAGAAGGGCTTCTTCTGTCTTGAGGCAAATTAGCCTGTAAGCATTTGGCATCATGGAGTCGTGTTTTGCCCGGGATGTTTCGTAGCAGCTGTGAGGTTTAGGAGGTTTAGGTTTTTGGGGTACGGTGAGAGGTGTAACCTAGAGCGGGTTAAAAGATCTTCAAGCTGCCTCACTGCGCAAGTAAGCCCCTAAACCCTATATAAGCCCCCTCCTCCTCCTCCCCCTAAACCCTAAACCCGAAACCCTGAACCCTGAACCCTGAACCCTGAACCCTGAACCCTGAACCCTAAACCCTAAACCCTAAACCCTAAACCCTAACCCTTTTTTGCGAGGTATCGGTACCAGACAACAACCGCTTTGAGCAGGATCGGTCTAAGAGCTCCAGCAAGGCCGGCAGCCCTTAAAGGGAGTTTTTTGGGGGACCCTAAACCCTAAATCCTAAACCCTAAACCCTAAACCCTAAAGGGTGCCCTGGGCACGGGGGGGGGGGGGGGGGGGGGGGGGGTTGGGGGGATGAGGTTTTCTTGGGGTTTTGGAGCGTGGGACTTTTGGGGTTGAGGGAGTCGGGGTTCAAGGCTTTCGTTTGCGGGTTTCGGCTGGGTCTTGGGGTTCAGGATCTGAGCGTCCCCTTCAAAACTTGGAGACCCTACTTGGAGTGCAAAAGCCTAGAAAGTCTAGCGCCACGTTTTGGGTTGCTGATTGACGGCGTTCTTGTTGAAGCCACGAGCGTCGCAAGCTCGGGGATTAGGCTTTAACGGTTCAGAGAGCTTAGGGGTTAAGGGCTCAGGGCACAGGGTTTCCAAAACCCTAAACCTTGAACCCTAATTAATCCCTAAACGCCGATAAGGGTTCAGGGGTTTGTAGGGTTTCGGGTTTGCAGGGTTGAGGTGGGTCCTCAACTTTGCCTGTATACCTTATATACCCTATACCTATGGACCCTTATACCCTACATACCCTGCTTACCCTACAGGCCCTAAACCTTACATTCCTCAAACCCTACATACCCCTACCGTGCCCTGCCGAAGCCTCAATTGACCCTGTACAGTACTACTATTTGCTTCAGAACTCCACATGAAATACAACATGTTCTTCCTTGTAAGGGTCATAGATGGATAACTTCAAAAAAAATGAAAACATGAACATTTTTGGGGGTTCCTGGGCAAATAGTAGATTGCCAGCCCCCTGAACTCGTAGAGCCGGCTCGAGGCAAGCAGCTATGCCATGATGCCCGAGGCCCGTTGCTCTTGTTGCTGGCTTCTGATGCTAACAGCTCCTTAGTTGGGATTATCGTACCCCCTATGACAATCCCTACTCGGGACTGTTAGTCTAAGGGGGACCAACCCTAAACCCCTCAACAATAAAAAACGCCCTGAACCCTTATTTGCGCGTCGACATGGGGTCACAGGAGTTTGAGGGTTGAGGCCTCAGAAGGTTGCGGTGGAGGGCTTTGGGGCTAGGGGGTTGCTCTGCCAAACTCATCCTTTCCCCCCCCGATGACCTCGATCCGATGCATCCCCCACCGCCCTCCACGCCTGGCAGGGAGGCTGCTGCGTCATCTAGATAGTAGTAGTAGTAGTAGTAGTAGTAGTAGTAGTAGTAGTAGTAGTAGTAGTAGTAGTAGTAGTAGTAGTAGTAGTAGTAGTAGTAGCAGCAGTAGTAGTAGTAGTAGTAGTAGTAGTAGTAGTAGTAGTAGTAGTAGTAGTAGTAGTAGTAGTAGTAGTAGTAGTAGTAGTAGTAGTAGTAGTAGTAGGGTGTAGGTGTAGGCGTAGGGTAACCTTCGTCATTGATGGCATGAGCGAAAGCCCCCGCGCAGTCTACATGGAAGCTCTCTTGCGCAGAGACCACCCCGGAAAACCCTCTCCAACCCTTAAACCTTAACTCCCCTAGGCCCAAGGCCCTCAACTCTACAGCCCTAAACGTCCAGACTCGAAACCCTTTTATAACCGCAACCCACCTAGCTCCCTAAAGCCTCTAATCTCCGCTTTAGGGCTTGAGGGTGCAGCAGTGTTTAGGTTTTAGAGCTTCGTGTTGAGGGGTATCGGTACAGTTAAACCAAGTACCCTGAGTGCTAACACATTGTGGGTTTAGGGTGTAGCGTTTAGGGTTTAGGGTTTAGGGTTTAGGGTGTGGAGAGGGACATGCAATTCTGCGACAGGACAACGACGTGAATCCCAGCATCGGAACTCCCGGGGGCTTCCGAGGAGGCGTTGGCGGCCCCAGATCTTAGCCCTAAACCCTAAACCCTAAACCCTAAACCCGAAACCCCGACCTGAACCCTAAACCCTAAACTAAACCCGAAACCCAAAACCCCAAACTGAACCCTAAACCCTAAACCCCAACCTGAACCCTAAACCCTAACCTAAACCCGAAACCCTAAACCCCAAACTGAACCCTAAACCCTAAACCCGGGAGGGGGAGGCAGGGGGTTTTCGGCGGGCCATGGGAGGGGGACCCCTACGAAGTGTAGGGGTTCGAGGGAGGGGGCAAGATTGGGTAGAAGTCGAAACTCCTATACAAGCCCTAAAGGGGTTTCGGGTTTACATAATATATTATAGGTTTTATGTGGGGTTGAAAAAATTCTATTGGATTTATAAGATTTATCTCTAGAGCTTCTGGGTTTCTGTAGGGTTAATGAGGTCTTGTAGGGTTAAGGGTTGGTCTAGGGCTTAGGGTCATCAGGGCTAGGGTTTTATATTCTAGTTTGTGGTCAGCATGTACAAGGTTTGCCGTACCAAACGTTGGTGAGTTCATGTGTTGGTGGTTCTCCCTTTGGAGATAACGGCAGTAGAAGCCCCACCTCACATTGGCAGTTTCCCCGGCGAGGATGCCCAGTAGTATCCTTCTTCCCGTTTTTTAGGTTTCGGATACCTTTAAACCCCCCAGGGCCAACGAACCCTAAACCCGAAGTGCCGCCCTGAAACCCCTAGTCAGGCCAAAAGCCCTTAAACACCAAACCACCGCGTCTCCAACTCTGAGGTAGGCCGGCCGCGCATGGGAAGGAGTATGTCCCGCTTGGACGGCGGTTGAGGAGGGTGTCCCTCATTCGCAGATGAGCTCGTGTCCAGGAATACACCCTAAACCCTAAACCCTAAACCCTAAACCCTAAACCCTAAACCCTAAACCCTAAACCCTAAACCCTAAACCCTAAACCCTAGACAGGTTTACCGCACCTGAAGGTCGAAGTCCGCCAAGCTGTACTACATCCCGCTTAGGCCTAGACCGTCTAAAAACTCCCAACGCCCCAAGTGCCCAAGAAAAACCAGGTTTGGGTTCAGGGTTCAGGGTTCAGGGTTCAGGGTTTAGGGTTTAGGGTTTAGGGTTTAGGAGCAGGTGCGGCTTGTAGCTTCGACACCCATACCCCCTGAGCCCTGAAACCTCAACCTTAGCTGGAGGGCCAGCTTACAACGAATTGGTAGAGGGTTTAGGGTTTAGGGTTTAGGTAGACATGTTCCCTACGTTTCTCCGAATAACCGCTGCTTTCCAGCACCATGGTCTGCTAGGCCCTGGTTAACTCCGAACCCCAAAGCCAAAACCTTAAGAACCCAAAACCTACTCTTTTTGTAGGTTACCGAAAAATTCCTATAAGGGGCCTTTATAGTAAGAGCCTAGAAAAAAGTAGGTTTTAGGTTTAGGGTTCTTAAGGTTTGTGGTTCAGAGGCCCCCTCCTCGCGCCAGCATTGTTTGTGTTGTATTTCTTGCCAGGTTTCACCCTCTTTCTGCCTAGTGCTCACCTCCCTTGTTTCAAGCTATCTGGGCTTCTGGGTTCATTGGCTGATAGGCTTTTAGGGTTAGGGTTCAGGGTTTAGGGTTCAGGGTTGAGGGTTCGCGGTTTAGATTAAACCCGAAAAGATGCTCATCATGAGGTCCCGGTGTCTCCAGGGGCTTTGGTGTCGTCATTCTTGGAAGCCCGAAAACCTCCCTAAGCCCTAAACCCTACAGTTACTACACCCTAAACTTGTTTAAAACCCCAAACCCTGAACCCCAAACCCTAAGCCCTAAACCCTGAACCCCAGACCCAAACCCTTCAGAAGGATGCAACGGCCCTGACCCGTGGAGGGAGGAGAGCACAAAACCAGCGGCGAAAGGCTAATGACGCAGTGGGCTAGCCCCGGGCCCTGTGGCCGAGGATGCTTTGTGTAGGCTTTGTCGGCTTTTTCTTGAAGCCGCAAACCCTAAACCCTGAACCCTGAACCCTAAACCCTAAACCCCTGCACCCGTTTTCCCGCTTCGGAGCCGTGCGGCTTCTCGGGCTCCTCAAACTCAGAGGCGCTGCAATGCCCCTCAAAAGCAGCCCTGCTGGGACCTCAAGCGCCGGTAGCCCTAAACCCTAAACCCTAAACCCTACAACCCCAGCAAAGCCGCAGTAAATCTCTAGCAAGCCCCTAGTAAAACCCTAATAAAGCCCTAGTAAAACCCTATAAAACCCTATAAAACCCTTGAGCCCTTGAACCCTCAAGCCCTAAACCCGAAAACTTGACTTTTTTTGGGATGTCGGGGTTCAGGATCTATAGGATGTAGGTTCCGACGCCCGGGGTCTCAAGCCCTTGCCAGACCTTTCGTGGGGCGGGGTTTAGGGTTTAGGGTTTAGGGTTTAGTGTCTAGGGTTTAGAGTTTACGGTTCAGGGTTTTGTTTTGGCCATGTTTTGCGGGAGGCGAAGCCGTCAACCCTAAACCGTAAACCCTAAACCCTAAACCCTAAACCCTAAACCCTAAACCCTAAACCCTAAACCCTAAACCCTAAACCCTAAACCCTAAACCCTAAACCCTAAACCCTAAACCTAAACACTATCCTCCAACGTTTGGCACTGCCGAACGGCAGTGGCCCAGACTTTGCTTTGCACCCTGTGTGCCAAAACGGCTTCCTCTGGCTTTGCCTTGTGGCTCTTGGGGGTTTAGGGTTTAGGGTCTAGGGTTTAGGGCTTAGGGTTCAGGGTTTTTGAGCCACTTTCATTCGGGTTCTATTGGGCGTCCAAAATCCTACCTGGTCCATTTATGCTTGAAGTGTTGAGGGGTTATCCCCGAGATTTAAACGGGGGGTTATCACCTACTAAATTCCAGGGTGTTGGAGTCATAGGTACACCCGAAACCCCCACATTCCAAACCCGAATCCCGGGTTCTGGGCTGAGGTGAGGGATTCGTGGCTCCTGATAGGCAGTGTTTAGGGTTTAGGGTTTAGGGTTTAGGGCTCAAGCCGCATGACTGGTGCCGCAGCTGTCAATGCCCGAGGAAGATCTCAGCAACTTGGGTCGGTTTCCCCAAGTCCTTCGTCACAGTACCTTCCTCCGCTTCATCAGGAGTTTCAGGGCTCCGTTAACCTCAGCCCCCTGAACCCGGACGCGCAACCCTAAACCCCCAAACCCTTGCACAAAAAGCCCTACACCCTAAATCCCTAAATCCCCAAACCCTAACACACAAACTTTTCGAGCTCCTAAAGTGCAAGATGCAGCCGCGGCCCTACCAGCAAGAGTGCGTCAGAAAGGCCAAGGCCGGCAACACCATCGTAAGCCTGCCGACGGGCGCAGGCGCGATCGGATTCGGTGGTCTTGCAGAATTCCCTGAAGCCCCTAAAGCCCCCAAAACCCGAAACCCTCGGAACCCCCCAAACCCTCACAACCCCCCCAAACCCTACACCCCCAATACCCCCAAACCTGAAATCAGAAAAGCCCTTCGAACAACCTAAGCCAAGAGCCACCTAAAACCTCATGAAGACGGGCTTGAAGTTTGGGGTTCTTAGGGTTTGGTTTAAGGGATGATAGGGTTTGTGTTTTTAGAGTTTTTAGGGATTTTCAGGGCCTTTGGGCATTTTGGGCCCGTGCGGTAAAATTGGGAGGCGGGGTTCGGTTTGAGGGGGGTTGAGCATTCGGGTCCCTAAACCCTCAATCCTAAACCCTAAACCCTAATCCCTAAACCTTTGGTACTGCCCCAGCCCACTAACAGACACCACAAATCAGACCACCAAAAACACCACAGCACTAAAGTGCCTTTTTCAAGGTACATGGAGATCTCAATGGCTTGATTCTCTGTTTCCCTTTTCAGAACTAGTAACCCAAAGCTCAAAAGGCCTCTCAGCTCTGGGCTGAATTGCTGGGCCTGGAGCCTGGGCCCTGGGCCCCCGGCCTGCCAAGACTAGTTTCAATTTGGGGCCCTTGACCTTGATTTTTGGCCCGACTTGCTGTTCCAGTTGTGTTTTTTTCAGGTTCCAGTTGTGTGTGTGTGTGTGTGTGTGCGTGTGTGTGTGTGTGTGTGTTTTTTGCGGTGGGGTTTCGCAGTTTGTAGTCCGATTTGTGCTTCTGGTTTTCAAACCAGTTGTGCTTTTTTTGTGGTCTGGTTTGTGGTGGGAGTTTCGCAGTTTGTGGTCCGTTTTGTGCTCCCAAAAACCTTGTTCCCAAATTGGAAAGAAAAGCACAAGGCAGAGCACAATAAAAGCACAACTGCACAACTAGACCGCTCGTACTTCCAGCTAGCAGCTAAGCCGTAGTTTTCTCTCCGGGTTGGGGGGTGGTGGGGGGTGGGGGGGGGGGGGTGGTGGGGGGGGGGGTGGGGGTGGGGGGGGGGTGGGGGGGGGGGGGGGGGGGGGGTGGGGGGGGGGGGGGGTGGGGGGTGGGGGGGGGTGGACGGTCAGACAAACTCAAACACCTGTTTTGGAGATGGGCAAACTCCAACCCCTCACAAGGTGTTGCGGTTTTTCTGGATCTTGTTTATAAGAGGGAGCTCATTATCCGACTGTTAGTGAGCTGGGGCAGAACTCAACCTAAACCCGAAGCCGTTTGGGGTTTGGGGGGAGATAAAACTTCATCCGGGGCCCTGCGCCAGCCCGAGGTCTGCAAAAATTCGAGGCACTTACCGACTTTTCTCGGGCTTGCAACCCTAAACCCTAAACCCTAAACACTTCCGTTTCAGGCAAGACGTTGGTGGCGGTGCTCTGCATCGACCACTTCCTGGAGCAGGGAGCGAAACGTGTCATGTTCGTCGTCCCAACCACGGTGCTCGTCAAGCAGCAGGCAGCTCAGGGCTCATGGAGGGCTCAGGGCTCAGGGTTTAGGGTTTAGGGTTTAGGGTTTAGGGGTTCACCGGGGTTTACCCACCGTAAACCGAAACCCTACCCCCCAAACCGGTTCATTCAAGGTTCGGGCTCTCTACTACACAAAAAGCTCCCAGAACATCCCAACTGCTTCCCGCCTGTGCACCTGTCGTGCTTTAGCGGTTGGGGCTTAGGGTTTTGGGTTTTAGGGCTTAGAGTTTAGGGTTTGGGTTTAGGAGAACTCCATTCAGCACCCAAAGTTGTGCTTGAAGGAGAAGGGTTATAGGAATCTTGAAGGCAGTAACTCTAAACCCTAAACCCTAAACCTAGGGTGTTTGGGGCTTGCAGGCACAGTACTGTCGAGATCGCTGCCAGCAGCGACACAGCGTGGCAGAGCTGTCTGGGACGAAGATGGACTCATGGACCAAGCTGAATTGGAGCAGGCGCAAAACCTCCTCCCCCTTACCCGCCCTTGACCCCAAGCCCCAAACCCTGGAGGGTCTAGGGTTTAGGGTTTGAGCTTTGGGGTCTTAGGGTTTTAGGGTTTTAGGGTTTAGGGGTTTAGGGTCTTAGGGCTTAGGGTTTGGCAAGGGGCCGAACAACGTCGGGCTTTTTTACATCCGGCCAGGAGGTCTTTCGGGGCTCAGGGATTAGGGTTGTAGGGTTTTAGGGGTTCAGGGCTTAGGGCTTTGCAGAGTGTCGGGTTTTGGGTCGGGTTTGTGGCTTTGGGGTCTAAGGTGCTGGGTTTTGGGGCACACGCATGTCTTTTTTAAGGTGGGGGGCCATGAAACCCCCTCAAACCATTGAACCCAAAACCCGCCAAACCTCGATAATCTGAACCTCAATCCCAAACTCAACCCTAAACCCTGTACTACGCCCAACAAAGCAAACTCGTCCAACCCCCCAATTAGGGTGCAGGGTTTTAGGGCACAGGGTTGGGGGTTTGGGGTATAGGTTTGAAATCCCTACGCCCCAACCCCTACCCTACGCCCCCTTCCTGCCAAAGGTGCTTGCAGGACAATGCAGTCCTCGTGGGCACACCAGAGGTCTTCCGTCGGGCTTTGGTGGACTGTGGCTTCATCCAGGCGCCAAGGGCAAGCTGCATGTTTGCTCTTCGCTTTGGGTCTTATAATTATGATTCCGCCCACTACCCACCAGCTCTGACCCTAAGGGGTTTAGGGCTTAGGGCTTGGGGTTTTAGGGTTTGGGGCACCCCAAACCCTACACCCTATTGTGGGTTTGATCTGGCTCAACCGCGTCTGGCCCAGAAACCCTTAAACCTGTCGTCTTCGGCAACTTTATGTTCGGAACCAAAAGAAGGTTCAGGGGTTTGGGGTGTATGCCTCCGCTCACAGTTCCTAAAAGGGGTTGGACTTTGTCCCCGGGAAGGGCCTTGAGGGTTTAAAGGGTCAGAAACAGAATCCACCCTAGATCCTAAACCCTAAACCCTAAACCCTAAACCCTAAACCCTAAACCCTAAACCCTAAACCCTAAACCCTAACCCTAAACCCTAAACCCTAAACCCTGGCCCTCTGCAGGTGTTAGACTTCTCCCTGATCATCTTCGATGAGTGTCACAATGCCACTGGCAACTCGCCCATGGCGGGCATCATGCGAGATGCCGTGTGGACGCTTGCCCTGAACCTACAGGTTGAGGGAGTTACTTTTTTCCCCCTTGGGAATTATTCTTTTGTTTATATAACACACAAGAGGATAATTAAAGATAATATGTTTATTAAGGTTCTAAAGGGAGTATAGGTTAGGGACCTTATAACCAACCCCCCTTGTATGTACCTGACGGGATTAGATGTGACGCCCAACCCTCGAACTCGAAACCCCTGCCTAACTCAGGGGTCTCACAGACTGATGCCCTGCCATTTTGGGGGCTTGTCCAGCCTAATACTCTATGCTATGGTCTTCAAGGGGTTTAAGCCTGCAGTATAAGCAAGAGCATTTAGAATGGTGTGTGTGTGTGAAGCGGGCAATAATCTACAAACACCGGGACCTAAATCCCAAACTCTTGAACAACCCCGCGTTATTTGGTAGGCGGTTGTGCCCTAAATCTTAAAACCCTTCGAGCTTCTGGGGTTTGGAGTTGAAGGTACCTAAATGCCAAACTCGTAAGCAACCCAGCCTCACTTGGTACCAAGCACTTGGTACCAAGGCGGCTGCGCCCTAAATTTTAAAACGCTTTGAGCCTCCGGGGTTTCAGAGTTGAGGGTTCAGGGTTTGAGGGTGTTAGGGCTTATAAGGTTTAGGGTAACAAGCCTCCACTCTGCCACTTTGTGGATCCTGAAGTCAATGCCCTGCAGGGCATTGAGATTGTTTCTTACCTGAGACATTTAGGGTTTAGGGTTTAGGGCTTCGCGGTTAGTGTTGAGGGTTCGGGGCCCGACTCCTGCACAAGCTGAAAGCTCTCAACAATTGACGCCGCCGCGTGTTCCAGGAAAGTTGCGGGTCAGACGGACTGCCCCCGAATTCTCGGCCTTACGGCCAGCTTTGTAAATGGCGCGCTCAAGAACGTGGAGCAGAAGCGGAAAGACTTGGAGGCGGAAGTTCGGTTCAGAGCCCCCGAAACCCTAGAACCCCCAAGACCCTACAACCCCAAAACCCCAACAGCTCAAAGCCACAAAACCCCAAAACCCGAAAACCCGAAAACCCTGAACCTACCAATGGTCTAGTAGCCCTAAACCCTAAACCCTAAGACCCCTCAAGTCATAAAGCCCCATGCACCTACGACAAAACACGAGGACCGAACCCTGGGGGCTTGGGTTTCGGAACCCTAAGCGCGCTAACATCCTATACGTCTTTAGGGGCTTACGGGTTGAACAACATAGGGTTTAGGGTTTCGGGTTGAGGGCTTGGGGTGTAGGGTTTTGGGTTTACACCCTAACGCCCCAAAACCCACAAGCGTCCCCAAGCCCTGAAGCCCTAAAGCCCCTCACACCTGACACGCTCGCTTCTCCATGAGTGAGCCACATTTTCCAAATAGTGCGTGCCCTAAACCCTACCTGTTAATCCCCCGTTCCAGAAAAAACTGTCCTATTGAAGAGGCCGGAAAAATCCAGCCGCGCAAAAAATCCGTCCGCTTTGATGATGGTCAGAAACCTATTTCCTGGTGGAAACCAGACACCCCCACAATTCTTCCGGAACTCCCTGAAAGGGATTGGGGAGGTAGTTGCTGGTGGGTAAGAAGGCTTGCTATGGCATTTGCACGCATGGTTTTCGACTTGACGACGGAGCTGAGTCTTCATCGTAAAGCTCCAAGTGTAAGGCCAGGAGATAGCGCTGCACTGTTCTTTGCATGAGCAGCTGACTTCCCACACGCCTACTCAAACGGGCGATCTGGCCGATGAAATCCTCGTCCATTTGGACGGAGCTGGATAGGGCATTTTGGCACCATGTGCTGCCACTCCGGCCCGCGAGAAACATGTCTCGAAAGCTGTGGTGGAGGTAATGTGCCTTTGGCATCATCGGGTATCGAATGCGCCCCTCCTCCAGTGCCCACATTGCTACACGGCTGTACGATGCCAGAAAATGGAGTCCTGCTGCGCCAGCTCTCTCAGCCTCCGCAGCAGTCATCCAAAAGCCCGAGGAATAGCAGGTCCGGAAGCACACGTTTGCGGCTCGGATGCCAGCCAAAGCTTCTCGGGTGATCCTAGTGGCTACGTACTGCTGCCCGTTGTTGGACAAGAAATGCTCCAAGAACGACATGAGAATCCTCGTGTCGTTGAACTTGGACCAGGTTCCAGTCGGGCAGGCCATGGTGCCGGATTCAATGCCAAACAATTCTTTATCCAGCCGTCCACAGTGCAGCTTGAGCTTGGAGACCTCGCGCCAGGCCTCATATGCATCGTTGAGCTGCTGCACCCTCGTCTGAAGATTTCCTTGCCCCATGTTTTGCAACACTTCCACTGCAGTGGAAGCGACCATGTGTTTGCCAAGTCCTCCGTGAAAGTTGTGCCAACAATCGAAGAAAAGACACTGTGGAAGCGTAGTGTCCTCATCAGAACACCCAAGAGCCCGAAAAAACGGTGGAAGCTCTCGCCACGGCAAAGAATCATACATTGTGTGAGACCATTCGGGGTGAAGGTTGAAGTTTTCGAACACCACACCGTCAGTCCCTGCCAAGCAAAGCCAACATATGCCATTGCTCGTACTCTCGCCAGTCTTTTTGGCGACCCTTGCGTAGGATCGCAAAAGGTGCCCAGCTTTAGCAAGGAAAGGGTTGTCCTTAGTTGCTGAGTTCATAAGCCACCTAAAAAGTGTACACAGCTTTAGTTTTGTAGACAGTATAATATCCCAAAAACTGAAAATGTGTACTCACTCAGCTACTAAGTGTCCCCAGTTAAGCCCACACATACGGCGTGCCACTGCTGGCCATTGCACCAAAAGCCTTCTGAGGAAAGCCTTCTGTAGGAAGTGGCAATAGCAAAGCCAATGTCATCCCAAACAGGCTCAGCGACTTTACCGTACACGGATTTCGGCACAGCAACATGAAGAAAGCGTGACCGAAGACTGCCACCCATGTTTAGTCCCATTCGCTGCGTTCTGGCGTTGGCGTCATGGGTGTCAAAAAAAAGCTGTGTGCCCTCGCCTACACAGCCCCTCATGGACCATATAAGGATGCCCTTCTTCCTCTTCGACCGGCCTTCATCGCCATGCGAAAAAATAGGTATAGTCCGCGCAAGATTTAATTTGCCAGCCATAGCCTGCTGAAAAGCCCAATGGTTTGGACACGCCTTTGCGAAGCGCCGCCACCATTCCAGCAAGTCGCAGGAACCATGCAAAAGGTGAAGTTGGTCTCGTGCAGCCAGAGCAGACATCATCTTGTAGGGATCCAGCCACGGCACTTTAATTTCAGAAGGACCAACTCTTAGTCTATCGATGTCCACAGGAAAAGAAACTCCTGCAGATTGAAGCCTTAGAATGCCGATGGATACGAATGATAACCGACCAACCCCTACAAGTCACTTAGAAAAATCTGAAAGAATGCTGTCAAAAAGCTCGTTCCAGGCATTGTGCTCCGCACGATGCTTGCTTCCTCTAGCCAGCCGGCCATGAATCGATTTAGCCGAAGGAGGCGTCGACTCCGCCCGACGTGAGACCGCGTTGTCCCAAACTTGGGCACCAGATGCCTTGGATGAGAAAAAAACGAGAAACCCTACATATAAACCCTAGATCAACCCTATACGAACCCTGTATTATAAGCCCTACAAACCCTACAAAAACCCTATCAACCCTATATAAACTCTGCGTATAAACCCTAAACCCAGGACAGGGGATTGGGCGTTCGAGTGTTGGGTGTAAAGTTTGAAAGGGAGTGCATTTTTGGCTTGAAGCAGTTCAAGTGCCTTCACAGCCGAACCCTAAAGAAATCCGAAAACCTTTCAGAGAAACCTTTAACCCCCTCCAAAGCAACCTAAAGCCGCAACCCGAAAGCCCCTCCAACCCTAAAGCCCTCCAAAGCAACCCGCAATACCCTCCAAAGCAACCCTAAAGCCCTCAAAACAAGCCCTTACCTCTCCGAAGCACCTCCAAAGCAACCCCAACCCCTCCAAAGCAACCCGACAGGCCCTGAAACCTCTAAAGCAACCCTAGAGCCCCGACAGCAAGCCTATAGGCCCCGAAGCCTGGCCTACTTTGCAAACTATTGTAAACCCTGCGAACCCCGTCAACTCTCACCCGCAGGCAAGCCCCCACTCTCCAAACCTCACAAAAGCAGGCGTCAGGACCTTTGCAGGGGGATCCGATAGGGGTTTTCTAAGTGGGACAGGGGCGAAAGTCAGAAACTCCGAAAGCTAACCAACACCCCCCACCCTTAAGCTACCACCCTATGTAAGTATTTGCAACCCACGCTTATGCCGCTGGCCGTGGGGCGCCCTTCACCAGCTGTCGCGCCACTTGAAGGCGCTGCTGATGGTTGTCACCTGTCATGTTTTGCAAGCTCACCACACAACCCCCCCTCTAAAGACCCTTGCAAACCCAAAAAAGCCCACAGTAGGCCGGCGCAAGTACTCTGAACATGTTTTTCTTGCACGAGCGCGAAGTGTCCCCAAGCTGGCCGGTTTAGAGCACGCATGCCACCCGCCCACGAATCCGCTGCATTCCCCCGCTGAGTGTGTGTGGTTAGAAGTACAAAGCAGCTCGACTCGGGCTAAGGGCAGGGTCCGGGCATGAAGGCCCCCTATACATAGCTTTCGCACATGTGCTATCACTTGGACCCATTCTTTGCTTTTGCCTTCGCCTTTGGCGCTTTGGCAGGCTTGGCCTTGGGCCTTGGGTTTGCAGGGTTCGTGCGCTTCAGCTTGTCGATGTCGCGGATTTGGGGCCTCGCAAGAGCAACTAGAAGCAACACCCATACCTACGTTTGCAATTCTCTCAATGAGTATATAGAGTTTAAGAGGCAGACATGACTTGGTTCTCCTGAGCTGTGGCCTTCGACGCCCTTAGGTGCAATCTAACCTTGCAAAAACCATGGTTCGATGAGGTTTACATGTATGAGTCAGGATCAAGGAGCTGGAAGCAGGCTTGCTTGATGAGTCCCTGCATCTTCTTCCTTATCGCAGGCAGAGTCCTACCCAAAAAAACGATGGGCTGACCCACAGCAACAGTACAAGCAAGGCGCTTAAGATCACCAGACATACCGTGCGCCGTGTGCTCGGCCAGCAACTCAGCCAACCCATCCCACTGGTTCTCCATGCTTGTGGCCAGGCGGTCCAGCTCGGTTGCATACCTGAACAAAAAGTGGGTCATTTCCGACCACACAAAGCATCGTGCATACACATATGCCTCAAATGAGTTGCCTGGTGTGGGTGCTGGAAGGGTCCGGGTTGTAGGGCGCCCTAAGCTTGCCGGCCAAGTCGT